CCTCCTTCCTCACGATTGCTGTGGAGAAAGAAACATCAAAGTGAATCATCTGTTTTGTCAAACAAGTCATGTAAAGGTGAAGCATAAAGGGCAAAAAAGGTGCATCTGTACGAAAATAAAAGAGCATGACGAGATGGAGATTTATAGAGGATAGACTATTTGGCTCGCAGGTATTTAGAGATAAGTCATACACACCGTGTGTCTCTACAGGAGATGAGATTATGATATCGCACTCTCTTTTACTTTCAGGCTCTAAAGAAGAGACCCGGCTTCTCCAAAATCCTCCACGTGAAAGCAGACAGTCTCTGCTAACGTCTTTTGTGCAGGTTCCTCAAGCCTTGGAGAGGGTGCCATCACGGCTCCAGTCAATCAAAAAGACCCAGCTGTTCCTGGAGTTGAATGCGTCTGCAGCATCGTGAAGTAGTATCGAGGGCTCAGTGTGCATTTTGCTAAAGTACAAATCTAAGACAGAAAAACTTGATACAGTTATCTCGTTAATATCGGTTAGCCAGTTTGACTTGCAGCGGCACTATGTATCAGAAAGGGGGGCTTGTTTTAAACCTGACAAACTCAAGAAACGCAACAGCTTACTCTAAATTTTCCTTTGCAGTAACCTTTTTGCTTTTTCCATTCAAAAAAGTGGTTTGTGTCATTGCACAGAGCAGATCCCTTTTATTGCAACCCTTGAAGCCACACGACAGCACTTTTTAGCTGTCCGCATCCACACAGTGCTCGATGTAGACTAACACCAACAGCTGATGGGCTGACGGGCTGCAGAACATGATCACAGGCAAATGGGACTTCTCTTATTCAAGTTCACGTTGTGTTTGTGTCTGCGTGGATGACTTAAACACATAAATGGAAATTGTGACAAAGTACTGGATCAAGCCTGTACATTGAAACTGGACAATGGATGACTTTGAACACTTACTGCTTCCACCCAGAACAGAAATATGCTGCACCAGCTTCGGGTTCCGTGGACAGAGCGCAAAGGACAGCCACACACACACACAAACACACACAGACCTTCAGTCTTCTAAACACTGCCTGGCAGTGATGCATTTTGCCTCCTCTTCTCTAACATCCTCTGTTTCCATATGTTTAAAAAAAACAAACAAGGTCACAAATCTTGTGTTTTTAAATATTTGGGCCTTTTCATCCCAGACAGCAGGATTTAATACCTGACGTTACCGGTGCCATTCGTAACAGTGTCCTCATTCCAGTGAGCGTTTTCTCCAATGTGCCATTAACGAGGGGGAAAGGGGGACCAAGTGTTTGATCACTAAAATCAAAAGCAGTGTTGACGTTTAATTTAAATGTGTGTGAATTTAAGGCGTTGTGTTTCATATGGGACAAAGTCTCCAGGTGTCGTAGAGTTTGGACGTCATCCGACTTTCTTCGTTTGCCACCTGAATCAGTGCCATTCCCGTTCACGGAGCTTCTCGTGGCCAAAGCTCTTGTGTGATCCCTCATTTGTATTCATTTAACATTAATGTCCTCTGCCTCCCTCTGCTGGTGATTCCATGCAGATGCAGCGCTGACTTGCAGCTGGCGTTACGTGACACTTTGTACCCTTTGCAGCATGGAACAAGGATCACCTTTTACTATTTTGCAGACATACGGGATCAGGTCTTCGGTGTCACCTTTTAAAATTGGAAAAGCGACCTGACTACAGTTTAGCGTATGTTTTGGAAATCCTCAAGAAGTATGAGTAGCAATACCTGCAGTAGTTAAACTTACTGTGTTCACTCTTCTGTGCTGCAAATAGCTTCAAAGGGAGGAGCTCCAGTGATTTTTATACAGCCAGATCACCCGTATAAACACACAGATACACACAGTAACACAGCCTGTGAAAACAGTATCTTAATATATGCTGAGGCTCTGCAGGAGCGTTGTCCTGTCTGAGAAAATAGAAATTGTGATCTGGTGGTTATCTCACATTTCTAACAGAAAACCTGGGATCTGAACTGTGGGTGTAAAAAGATGTAGGTGGTTACCAAAAAACTGTATTTCGGAGTGCTGCAATGGACTGTTTTATTTTTTTTATTTTTTTTTATAGTTTTTGAAACTTGATGATTCTATGGACCAAAATTCTGCTGCACTGAATTTTAAATGTCTCTCTAATGAGTTCCTTGACTTTATGGAAGTGCAATACTACCGGGTAAATCTCTAAACGGAGCTCACAATCAGTTTTAAAGGGGACCTATTGTGCTCATTTCAATTCAGTTTTATATAAATTCCCAAAAACATTCGCCTCAAGGCGCTTAATATTGTGGAGTAAAAAAGAAACCACAATATTGGAAAGAAACTCCAACAATCATATGACACCCCCGCCTACCAGTGAGCAAGAACCTGGCAACAGTGGGAAGGAAAAACTCCCGTTTAAAGGGAAGAAACCTCCGGCAGAACCAGGCTCAGGGAGGGGCAGCCATCTGCTGCGACCGGTTGGGTGCTGAGGGTAAAGAGCGCCATATTTTTATTCTTGGGCTCTACTAGGTAGCTTTGCATGATTCACAGACAAAAGTAATTCCTTATTTTGCTTAATCTAAGCAAAATAAGCCTTCAGAAAGATTCAGAAAGTCACGTGAGAGGTGGTTGGAGATTCTGAGCTCACAGTTATCTGCCTCAGATGACCGTATCAAGGATTTCCGCTCTCTCGGTGACATCATAAAAATGTCATCTGTAGCCTGATAAACTTTCAGAAACCAAACGTTTCGTTTGAAGCCTTAGCTTTTGGTTCACAGCGATTATGAGGAGCAGTATGAAAGGAAAGCATAGCAGGTCCCTCGCTATAAACAAATCACGAGCACAGTTCTGTAACAAGTTTCAAAATTAATCAAGAGACGTGCAGAACATGACTTCTTCTTCTACTCTGTCACTTTACACACCTTATTCGCCCGACGGCCCTGCCTCGCCACGCCAGGCTGCATCATTTGTGGGCGGAACAGCAGCAGAGCAGGTTGACATTTTCAAGGAGCCCTGTGTGGGTGTCTGTCACGTGAGCTCTTTAAAATTCCCAGATAAACAAAGCTCTTAGCTGCTCTGCTTCACAGTCAGATATACGTACGCAGACTTGTATAACTGCAAATTGTTGTGACGACAATTCGGGAACCGTCGTGGATGTCCATTTCTCCGTGTTCTTCCAGTACCGCATATTTATTATCCCACACTGGTCACAGAATGTTTGCTGGGTGCAGGTGAAGGAAATGTGGTGTAAAGGTTTGCTGACACAATAGAGAAAACACAAAAGCACTTGTTGATTTTTATTTTATTTTATCAGTTTTAGACAATCCTGCCTTGGTTATCAGCTACTCTGTACATAATGTTTGCTTAAAAAATGACCAACCTTTGATGTTATATAATATTAAGGTCATACTAACGAGTGGCAAAGTTGAAGTTTACAGGTGTTCACTCTGTAAGCGTTTTCTCTCCAAAGGTTGACGACAGACGAGCAGAGAGAATTATATTATGTATAACAGTAGTGTTGAAATTGCAGTTGTGTACTAGATACTTTATATTAAATGTGCATCAGAGTCATATAGAGATGGAAATTATTTAAGAAGAGGTTAAAGTTAATAATCAGCTATTTATTTCTATAAAAAAAAGAGCGATGTGTAATACTGTTGGCATGTTTGTGTTCACGCATCAGTCATTGAGTTGCCTTCTTTACTGTTCTGCTACTGTGGCGAGACAATTATTCGATGTTTAAAGAGCTTTGATTGCCTGCAGGTTAATAATCTTTATTTCAACCCGTCTGTTGTTGCACTAGTGAAAAACAAAACAGGATTTAAAAAAAAGAAGAAGATATTTCAGATGTTTATTATAAGAGTGTTGTTTTTAATGTTCAGCTATCTCTCAGTATTTTAACAGAAATATGATGCACTTTCCCCCCCTTTTATCGGCCGGCCGGTCGTCGGTTGTGTCGGGAGCGACGGCGGTCGGCCTGCCCGTCGGCGCCTTCTGATGGGCTACTAAAAAGGAACTCTTCGCTTACGTGTCGGTTTCATTGGGAAGGTGATTTCGGAAACATGATAAGCGATACTTTTACGAACTTCTATAAGTGAACAGACATACGGTTTCTCATCTGTCATATCTCTTCATGTTGGGAAGGGGAAAAGATCGACCCTGATTCAGCTACATTCTAGTGTTTTTTAGGTTACCGATATGACCTTACGCTCATCTATTTTGAAACGTTTTTAATTGATTTGCTTTAGTTTTGCTTTTATTTGCCGATTTCACGCGCGCACCCATCAGTACATCAGTTGCTTTATTTTGAAGTTGGCCTGCTGAGGTTGTTGCAGAGCCCTTTTGTTGCCCTCTAAACCTGCAGATTAGAGGTGCCAAGCGTGCTCCAGTGACTCCTTTTGGTTCGAGTTATGATCCTGTAGTTTTTTCATTGTTTTGAAAATGGAAGGTACTTTCTCATTCACTTTTGTTTTGTTTGTTTTATTTAAATCAAGTGTCCTCTGTTGCAGTTACCCCAGTTTATCATAGTGTGCAATAGAGAAATGGTGTCTGAGTGTTCATGTACCTCTCTGTACATATTTTATGTGTGATTGATTGTATTCTGCCCATTCATCTGAACAGTATTTTACACATTACCTCAACACTTAACTGGGCAATTAAGTGTGCCGTTTGTCTTTGTAATCTTTGTTTTCCTTTTATTTTTTGACCGCCGGCTGATCCATGAACTTCATCCGATTAGCTTGAGACGAAATTAATTCTGTTGCTGGAAAAACAACAACAACAAAAAACCCAAATAACTTTCCCAAAACATGATCAGCCTTCTCTGATGACTGCAATAGATAAAAATGTTTTACTGCTCATTTTCACTCATTTTGTTGTCATCAATAAAAACTGCTTTAAATTGTACTGGCTCATTTTTTAAATAATTTTTTTTGTCATTTTAGAATAAAATCATATCCTAGTAAGATTTTAAGATATGACTATGTAGTAGAAAATCCTTTAAAACAGAAAGATCACGGTTGGAAGACCTTACAGTACCTAGACCTAGACTCACAGGCCACTTTATTATCTACACCTTGCTAGAAACCAAAGGTGCTCTGTTGGATTGAGATGTGGGGACTGTGGAGGCCATTTGAGTACTGTGAACTCTTCATCATGTTAAAAAAATGCAGTTTGAGATGATTTGAGCTTTGTGACACGGTGTGTTATCAGAAGATGGGTACACTGTGGTCATGAAGGGATGGACATCAGCAGCAATACTCTCATAGGCTGTAGTGTTTAAATGATGCTCAGTTGGTACATTTCTGGGCATGATGCACGTGACTGTATTAAATCCACCCCAAAATCAAATTTTACCATCTATTTTCTATAAAAATGTCATTTATTATTGTAAAATTAGAAATCTGTGACTTAAATTGATAAGGAACACCCGATGATGCGACTTGTCAACGTGTGCATACTTTTGAAAAGAAAAAAAGAAATGAAATAAAAGCACCGTCCCCACATGTAATGAGC